GAAATAGTGCACCACTGTTTGGTTGGGAAAATCAATGAAATTCAGTTCCGTAGTTTTTTGTTTTTGGGAATATGAATTCCCATAGCTCCTTGGTCCACTCGCAAAAGCTGGAATTATTTTTGCAAGAATTGTGCGTTTTAAAACATGGATTTTTGTCCGCATGGGCAAATGATATTTCAAAATATGTGCCGAACATAATCCACCCGACTCAATGATCAGGTCATATTGAACCACGACCACATATCCACCAGTCTGCAGCATGAATTTGAGCCCAAACAAGCAGCAATGCCCCATATTTTTTTCCACGAGACCATTCCAACAGACTCCAGAGGCAACTGTTCCTGACCAGTAAATTGATACACCAGGACTATGATTCTAAAAGAAATTGCAGTTGCATTTCCCTAAACATGGTTTTATCAGTTTGTGAAATCAAGACCCGAAAGTTTCTGTAGATGGATTCAACCACATTAGGATTTTTTGGACAATGACACCATGTGACATTTTGAGAGGGCGGCCATGGATGCGCAACGTTTCGCGGGACCAATGGGGGTGAAAAATACAAATAAGGTCCAAACTATTCATAGATATCCCGATGAACCACATTTTTTAAAGACTGAAACGCGCTAGAGGATTTTTTCCAGGGTTCGATTTAGTTGTTTTGATAATATTTGCTTGATATTAATAGTTTTATGTTTGATATTTTTGCTATTCCTTTTTGTTCAGCTTGTTCGTGCTACATTGCTATTTGTCTTTTGTTTCTGCAAATCTTTTTGGAACCGAAAGCGCCTCACGAGTGAGAACTGAAATCCAACTGCTATGCATGACATGTGACTGTCATGAAGTGAAAACTGAAATGGTTACACAGCTGAATGCAGAGTGCGGTAAACCTTTGCACCCCACCTCAGCTTGCATTTCTAATGCTATGCTGCTATACACCCCTTAGGACTGTTGTGAGTCCTTCCTCTCGCTTCTGTTGGGGTTTTTGTGCGGTGATACATTTTGACGCTGTTGCCAATGATGAGAGTCCTGTGTTTCATCCTAATGACAAACACATGTGGCGTCATCGGAAAAATTGGCTTCTCTCACTGTTTGAGTTCTTTCAAAACTCTTGCAGTTCATCTGCTGTTGCGTCAGCTGATCCCATTGATGGCTGTCCATAGTGTAAATCAGCCCATGCGTCTGGGTCACTGACTTCTCCTTGTTCTGCATTTTGGTATCTCCTCATTCTTTCTGATCTTGTTTCCTCACGCATCGACTCGTCTGAGTCAGGTTCTGGAGCTTCTGGTTCTTTGAAGATCTCTGCAAAAGTGCGCAGTAGATCCATTGTCACCTCAACTCGTTGGAGTTCCAGAAGTCTGATAATGCACCTGTGGATCTCCTCGTGGCTTGTCGAAAGGAGTCCACGTTCATCTTTTCCAAGACCATATGTGGGTGAGTTGTCATCATCTGACAAGTCGTACTCCTCATTCAGAGAGTTCAGAGTCTTTTCTCGATCTTCTGAACTTGCAGTTGGCAGGTGATGCAAGCATGTTTCCAACCATCGTTGCATCTGTTGGTACCTCATTGCTGCACCAATGTTCCCATTCTCTGTGGCCCTGCGCAATCGCCCTCGTACTCGAACAAGCGTCCATGTGACAAGGCCTTCCAAGCTTGTATACTCATGAGTCACCTGTGGTCCTAGGAAATTGGACAAGGTGTCAGGCAACAATGGTGGTGGACTGTATTTGAAGTCCATGCTTCGTCGCATCATGTACCATGAGTACCCAACCAACAGCAAAGCCCAGGTCATCAGAAAAGCTGTTCCAAACCAAGAGCTATCTGAGGTTGTGGTTCCATCCCAACTGCATCCTTGGAGTTGTGTGGCCATGAGGCCCTGTAGATTCACCAAGGCCAGGTGGCCAAGTCTCATGCGGTGAGATCGGTTGTCCTCACCTTCTGTCATGTCCTTTGTGGGACTGCTTTCATGACTGCTAATATCATCGATTGTATTCAACATCTCTGTGGCTGCATCTCGTTCAGAGTCATTTGCAGCTCCAATGAAGTTCATGAAATCTGCAAGGAGTGCTCGACGTTGGTTGTAGGCTTGTGCACGAACTGCGTCACCAGCCTGAGTTGCATCTTCATAACGTCGATTGCACCTTTCGAACATCCAACTGATCATTCCCCCTGGAGAGAAAGCAGGAAAATCGTCAGTGTCTTCCGTGGCTTCTGTCATTATGCTTGCTGTGTCAGCATCGTCAGAGCCATCTGTGGAGTCAAAACTGGTGCTATCCGGCGTGCCCTTTCTGACATGTGTACACTGTGACATCCAGAGCATGTAAGCACCAAGAAGTCCAATCCATGCTGCTGTGAACACGTAAGGGATTTCTAGCATGTCTGTCGCCATCGCGTCACACCCTTGAAGTTGAAGGGTTAGCAGGCTCAAGGCGCCTATCAAAACTCGAAGTTGTGAATTGCGACTTGAAGTTGATGCAGCTTGCTGTGGAAAATGTCTGAAGATTCTTCCCGGGTCGTCTGATCCTACCAGTTGGTTTTGTGAATTGCTCCAAAGCCCAAAGAGAAACATCAATGATTCCAGCCTGGCAATTGAAAGTCGTTTTGTTGAAACATCTGCTGGATTGATTGTTCCAAAAACTGCTTTGACTTGCAACATCTTTTCAACAACTAAGTTCTGGAGCCAAAGTACCCTGCAGCTCAAATGCCTGAGTCTTCCAACACCTCGACGTGACAAGACTCCACGCGCTGCAGATGAATCCAAGTACAAATACATGAGAATGCGGACTTGGAGCAACCAACAAAGAATAGTTCTGATGAGAATGGCATCCATGACAGCTGAAGCGGCAGCATATGTTTCAGATTCTGCGCTCGACAATGACACTATCTTCTGAGTCCTCGATGACGAATAAACAAGGCATCCACCATAGAAGATTGCACTGCCAGAAACCGATCTGCGTGTGTTTCTGTCTGCAGCCCAGTCTGCGTCACTGAAGATTTCCAGAACAGGTTCTTCACATTCATAGTCGCGCAACAAACCTGAGTGCATGCCCTTCCATTTCAAAGAAACATATTGGTCAGAGTGACCTGCCATGTAGCCAACCAGGTGCTTCAAGACCACCATAGCTTTGTGAGTGGGTCTCGATGCACATGTTGAGAGATATCTGATCACGTATTGGCATTGCGGTAAATCTGGAGACAAGTACAGGAGGATCCCAATGCAGGATCGATACACTGAAGCATCGTGTTGGTTCAACTCTTCAGTGGTGTCGGGAGTTTCAATTTCGCTGTGGCCAGGAGATCTCTTGTTCTGCAAACGTTTTGACAATGAAGCAACTTGCAAAGCTCCAAGTGTTTGGGATGAATTCGAATGATCATCCTCCCATCTGACAACAACTGGTGGGTTTTCTTCAAAAACGTCACCTCATCACCTGGTCCAGACATGATTTCAATGGAAATTGTGTACTTCGCCTCCAATGAAGGAATGAGCTCCTCTAGGACCGTCTTCCTAGAGGCCACAATGAGAATGTCATCGATGTGCACAAACATCAAACAATCACCTTTGGCTGAGCGCAACATTGACGGGTAGGCTTCATTCTCGGCCTTGTTCAAGCTGCTGCTTTCGAGAAACTTCACCAGATCTTTGTGCCATAAAAGGCTACCATCACGTTGACCTGGCAGAACTCGGCCAAGACTGTAGGAAATCGAGATTCCACTTGCGTCGGTGCACCGAACACGTGTGGGTTGTTCTTGTGCAACTGTCAAGAAGGCATCCTTCACATCAATTGCAAGCATCAAAGTCTCTTGATGTTCCCTCAAAGCAAGGAAACAAATGGGCAAGATCCTGGTTGCAATGTTGGAGGAAGCCGGTGAGAACAAGGCTTCTCTGTCGGGCTGCAACCAAGTGTATTCCCTTGCCACAAGTCTGCTTCTTCTCAACCAGATTGCATTGCCAGAATCATCCTTCTTTTCACGCCAAGTGCGCACATAACTGAGTTCCTTCATGCGGTTGCTGAGCTCTGAAACATGTTCATAAGGATCTTCATCAAGATTCAACTCATGTTGCAGCATGACATCAAAATCCTGTTCTTGCAAAACAACATCGGGTTCAATGTCCAAATGCTCGATCTGTCGCAGTTGTCCAAGCAAATTGACACTGCCTGGACCATCGCCATGCTTGGCAATCTTGTTGGGCGACATCATGTCTTCAATTGAGGTGTCATCAACTAAATCACGTCCAGCTTCAGACTGTGGTGTCTGTGGCACAACATCTCCATGAGGCATCTGAGTGTCAGCAACTCAGAGTGAAGACGTTTTGAATCCCCACCTGAGTCCTCATGTTCTGTATCGCGCTTGCTAGATTGCGGCGCATCAGATGACGCTGCAGCAGTGCTTTGTTGAGGCACAGGATCAATTGTTGCTGGTGATTCATCACCTTGCATGTGGGTCGGCTGTTGTTCACCTTGCATAATCACGTACTGCCAACGCATCTCTGTCACCCAAATTGAGTGTAGTGCAAACTACAACTCCTGGAGGAAGTGATGACCTCTTTGAATGGACCAAACGATGTCCCAGGTTTGCATAATGGGAGGTTATTGACCAAGTGGCTGCCCCGCAAGGACTAATGACACCTTACCAAGTCATTGTGAACCCGGGGAGTATGTCCAAGCAAACCTCGCCTCTGCACATCATACCGCCGGGCCCGGTGTCCAACTGACTTGACTTGTGCATCCAAGGGTTTTTTGGAGCTGGCAAATCCAAATCCATGGCGATCCTTATCCTTTTGCCCTCCTCAAGCTCGACATAGATCACAGACTCAAGATTCTTTTCCTGTGTAAAGAAAACTCCGGCACCCGCTCCTTTGCGGATCTCCTGACCCGCCAGTGGCGGTGCTTAGGCGACTCGGGAGGCTGGTTGGCGACCAAGAAAGGAACAAATCCAATTGTTCCTTTACGAAATTTGTTTTTTTCTGTCCAACGCCTTCACGGCTTTCGCCAGGTCGTTAC